AAGAGAGAAGCTTGATCCAGGCATGGTTCGGAGCTGCTCTGAGAGCAGCCTCTCGCCCCCGCAGCCCAGCAGGCCCCAGAGCCCTCACCTCGGCCATGCTGGAGAGGAGCCCCTGCGGCGTCAGCCCTGCTCGCGCTGTGTCTGCTGGGCGCTGCCACCGCCTCCTGGCCGCGTGGGAGGGAGGGGAAGAGGAAGAGCAGAGGAAGTCGGTCGTATTTCTTTGCATTGCCAAGGACACGTGCTCGCCAAGCACTTTCTAAAGCCTGCGCGTGTTCCTGCAGACACTAGGGGACTGTGTTGGAGCAAAACGAAAGTCTTTTCCCCACTCTGTCCCCCTTTATCTTGACACCAGGGGCATCTGGCCATGCACATAGCTGGCCCCAGGAGGCCTGAGAATCATCACCTCCCACCAGGGATTTAGCCATCACCATGCCAGGCATTTTTAACCCCCAGGAAGTGCTTCTCTCTCAGTCCATGTGATTCTCTTTCCCAACCGAGGCTGTGGCTGCCCAGTCACTCTAGTCTAGCATAAATCCAGGCTACTGACAGAAAGCAGGGAGCTCTTCCTTCCGCCAGCAGCTGGAGTACCTCCTTTTCAGCAGGGCCTATCCCCAGTGCGGCTGCACACGTGGCTGTGCTGGAGCAAGTCAAGAGGCATGCACGGGGCCCGGGACAGCTCAGCAGCAGCACAGACATACAGCCCATGAAGGGACCAGGTACCTCACCTTGCACACTGACTGATGGAGCCCTGGCACAACCCACAACAAAATATCACCAAACCACCTCTGCTGAGAGCCTTGGAAGCAAGGAGCAGCCTTCGGCTCCCATCTGCTGAACAAAAATGACATAGGTGGCCTAGGAAAGAAACGGGGCATTTGGAGGGCACCTTCCCAGATTTCTAAATCCTTTGCAACAGCTCCGGTTAGGACACATCTTTCCTGGGAAGCTGCCTTATGCCATTACATCCCACTGCTGAAAGCCGAGTGTGACTCATGCTCTTGCTGCACTAGAAGAAATGCCAGTTAAACGGCATGTTAAAGCAACGTGCTTTGTCTCTCTGCCACAGGCCAGCACGGGACACGGCTGCTGATGCCAGTCCCTCTGCTGCATGGGTACATGAACGTATCCACTCCACTCCTGCATCAAAAAGCACGTTTCTCTCCTCCCATCCTGGCTACTTCCTCATGCCAAGAGAGGTTGAAACTGCTCACAATAGAGCAAAAAGTTCCTTGCTAAACACACACCAGCAGTGTCAAGACAGGTCACACTCTTCCTAAAGAGGTTAGCGCTTCCTCAGGGGAAACTTGTTGGTACTCCCCGATGAGCTAGGAAGCACCGAGGGCGCTGTGACCACCACCTGGCAGTCACGCAGTGCGTGGCACAATCCAGTACCCGTCTCACCTAGAGTGCTGTGAGTCAGTGGAGACTCCAGCTGGCTGTGAGGAGCTCCCAGCATGGAGCAACAGGCTTAGGAGGCTAAAGGCAAATAATAAAAATAATAATAAAGACACACACACGATCTTGGCTGCACAGAGCAGCAGCAGGTAATGCAGGAAAGGAAAAAGGGGGAAGGAAAAAAAAAAAAAAAAGTGAAATGAGTCAAATCTGGAAAGTCATTGTCTGTATGCTAAACAAGTCCTATAAGGCTACTCCCAACGTGCAGTCCAACACCGGTCCCTGGAGTTTGACAGCTCTCACATAAACGAGGGGTGTTCAAACAACACACGGAGCAGCAGATGCTCTTTGCCACAGCTTACGCAGTTGCTCCTGGCTCTGGACCACCCCAATCTGCGCTGTCACATTTGCAGGTACCTTCCAGCGTGAGGGATAGTCCCAGGTCAGACCGCACGGCAGCCTCTACTCGGCTAAGAGGCAGCTCCCCAGCTGCGCATCGACTCCGCCGCCTCGCTCCCGCAAAGCGGCCCCGGACCCCAGCACGTCGCTCGGCCTGCCTGAGAGCCGCCTGGCAGCACGCGCCCACACACGGCTCCGCAGCAGCCGCGCATGTTCCTTCCTCTCTCCAGAGCCAAATTCAGACCATCTGTTGAAGTATTTCTGCAAATCATCTTTCCCTCAGGAAGGGCCAGGGGCTGAGTTTTGTTATTTATATAGTGTCTGGCATTTCTGTAGCACTTATCACTTCAGTACCCAAGCTATTTCCTTTCAGCTCTGAAGAACCAATGCAAGGCACCAGCGAGTCTTCACGATAAGTTTTCTGCAAAATAAGTAATACCACAAGTGCCTGACCTGAGCAGTTGTCATGTTTTGCTGCTAACAAAGCGAGTAGGGCTGTTCATGCAAAGGCCAACACAATATGTTTTATATCCTTTAGAAGAATTACTAACCATATAAAATAGTCTCCATAAACAACAGCTGTTCCCAGAGAACAAGATGAACCAACAAGTGTTCCCATTGCCTTGCGGAGGCGAGCACTGCTTATCCAGAACGTGGAGAAGGAAGCTATGCTCGTGCTTGAAAAGACTGACATAAAACCAAAAGGGAAAAGGAAGCACCCAGAAGGAGATGCTGTTTATTATGGAGGATCGCACGGCCTTGACACTGCTGTTTGCAGACAAGTGGCAAAGCCCTGAAAGGCAAGTACAGCTCTCCCTATCAGATGGCAGGAGGCAAGGTCAGAGATGGATGTTTTAGCACTTATCCAAGGTCGTGCTCCAAGGCTGCAGCAAAAGAGAGGGTAGCACCCAAACTCAGGGTTAGACCCTGAAGCATCCTGCCCCTAAAAAGCACCTTCCGCCTCCTTTTCTTCCATATCCATTCTGAACCACCGTGCTACAAGGAACACAGAGCTGAAAAGAGCACCAAACTCACTTCCAGTTTGCACATAACCTTGGGAAGGTGTTTCTCTCCCATCCGCTACCCAGCAGGAAACAGGGAAGTGCACACCTCTGTGTCCCAGCATTGCAAGCAGCACACCTGGCAAGGGGGCACAGGGGCTCAGGCACTGTGGTGATGAGGGTGGCAGTGCTCAGCAGCAGTGACAGATGTGCTCTTCTAGGACAGACACGTCACATGCTACCACCTCCATGTATGCAGTTATCCAAGCAAATCCTGTGCTCATCCTAGCTATGAGCTTTGAGATGGCCCAGCACAGCCCCTTTTATTTTATGTTAAAATAAAAAGAATCTACTGGAAGTTGCGACTAAACTCAAAAATGAGGAATCAGAGGAACAAGATGAGCTTCTTCCTTGACTCAAACTCAAGAGATCACTCTTAGAGCACCTCTCTCCTAGCAAAATGACCTGCCAAAGGTCCCATATCCTTGTGCCGTAACTAAATGGCATGCAGCCTCCCTCCCCAAGCACAGAAAGGAGAGGAAGTTCTGCAGCAGAATATCCTCCTCCCTTTTATAACCTGGTTTGAAAATCCAAGCAAAGGCCAGCTGCAAGACCTGTCTTCTCCACTTTCTGTCAGCTTCTGCCTCCTTTCCCCAGGCACATGCTTCCTCCCAGATTGGACAGGACACGAGGTAAAGCTGTGGGTTTACACTGCCTCAGACGCTAGGAAAAAGTCTCCTTGGAAAGAGAAGAAAAAAAATATAGAAGATGCAGCATAAATGGCTTCACCAAAACAGCCTTGCCAAGACGGCCATGACTCAGCGCAGACTGCTCTCGCGTGGGGAGCAGCACCATGACACAGTCAAGAAATTCATTTATTTAAAAAGGTGGCACATGCATGCATCAGTGGAGAATGCACCTCACCCAGGTTGAAGTCAGCCTCCCTCCTCCTGGTCACTGGATAAATGCCACAGAGCCAGGAACAAAAAGACATGCGCACAGCACTCACAGTACCCACACGCTAGCACAGCACCAAAGGAAAGAGCGGAGCACGGGGAGGCATGACGGGGCACAGCCATCCGGCTACAACAGCACCTGCGTGGGCACCGCTCGTGAAAAGGCTTTACAAAATAAACTTAAGATTCCATTCCTGTGAACAGCTCACTACAGACCCCCTTAAACAAAGATCCAAACAGACCCCCCAGGTTAAATAAACTGCATCCCATCACATTTCCTCCGACACAGGAAACAAACATCCCTGCCTGGGTACCTTTCCCCTTCTCAAGCAAATAAATTCCATGGGGACAGCCGTCAAGAGAGCGCAAATATTCAACATTTTTATTTGCAGATGCATGAGAGGTAACTGCAAGACAGAAATCCAAACTGCCCAGAGTGACAAGGTCTTCCCACTGGGTTTGTTTGGGTTTTTGACTTGTTTCTAAAGCCTTTGCACCCCTGTTGCTTTATCTTAACAACTGGAACAACCCGCAATCAATATTGCAAGGTTAAAACAACACCCAGTTTTGTATTGGGTAACTCAATTCCCCTCCTCCATCATGCTATCTTTGTGCTGGAAGGCAAACAGAAGGGGGCAGGAAAAAGTTATTTATCTCCTGGTAGGATTAGCTGGAGCAACTCAGCGTCAGCTCTAGCACCCTGCCATGCTGCCAGGTAGGGGCTCTTTGCTGGATATCAATGCCCCTTCTGATAAGACACAGCAGAGGGCTCAGCATCACAGAAGGCTTCCCGTAGCTGCGGCGCCAGCAGAGCAGACATGCATCGTCACAGCAGACGCGGGCACCTCTTCTGCGGCCGACTGTCACTTTCAGTCATGCCTCGCTCCGGAAATACCTTTGCTGCAGATGGTCAAGACAACTGGCTCCAGTGAGGCTAGAGTCCATGCAGCCATTCATGAGAAATGCACAATAAAGTGTATGCACTGTGTACGGCACATTCACGAGCAGGAGAAATAAAACCAGCACGCTGGCTCACACAGCCAACATTTGTAGCTCATTTGCCATTGTAAGTGATTGCTGTTTCCATTTCTAACTTTCTGGGAGTGCAGATGTTTGGATACAGCAAAGACAGCCCGATGCTGCCAACAAAGGGGTTAAAGGGGTCAAAGCATTTCCCCAAAACACACCAAATTAGAGAAGCAGGGGAACATACACCCAGAGGCAGAAGGCATAACCACTCCTCATTTACCTGTAATAGCAGGAGGCAGGACACAGGAGCCAGGTAGATCCTTCCCCATTCTGCATTGCTATTACTGAAGGAAAACCAGATATACACCTCATTACGCATTACTACGTATTTAAACAGGTGAGCAGAGCTACACAGGCAGCTAGCAGATAAGCACGGCCTTGCAGGATATTAATAAACTTATAAATGACAGGCTAAAGAGGCTCCATGCCTGGACTTTTCATGTAGCCCGAGGGCTCGCACATCGCAGCCCAGGCTCAGCTGCTGCAAGCTGAAGTGCTCCACTGCCTTTGGCTCAACTACATTAATTCACTCCCATCACTGGCCAAGGTGCACAGCTCCAGGACGCTGTGGACTGGAGGGACAGCGGGAGGGAAGCGGAACAAAACCAAAACAAAACAGCAAAAAACAGACACGCTCCAAAAAAAAAGGAGGGCTGGGAAGAAGGCAGGCTTAGGAGAGATGCCTATCTTTGCTGAAACAACCCATGCGGGGAGAAGCCACAGAAACTCCCTTGATCAGGCGTTTGCATCCTAATGTGACACACGTGATCTACAGCGAGCGGGATTGCAAGGAAACTCGCTTGTCTCAGCTGCCCCAAACCTGGTTTGGTTACACATTACCTTTCCAGGATCTCCTGAAAACACAACAAAAAGTATTTTGCATTTCCTTCCCCACCCCTCCTCCTCCACCCTTGGGGCCTAATTCAAAGCCGTTTGATGTCATTCTGGCAGCAGTGTGGTTTTTAGGTAGATGGAAACAGCCCGTTATAGATGCACACTGTGCACAGGGTCTTGACGGCACTGGAAAGTTGGCGGCATAAGCACCTTGCAGCTTCCTGCCCCGACGCTGGCCCAAGAATCAAGTGACAAAAGTCAGCATCACGCTGGGATGAGGCAGACTGGCCACTGGCCAGCGCCAGGCAACACGATCCCCTCCACAGCCCCGCTCAATCCCCTTCACAGCCCAACTCACTGCTGCTGCTCCCCATGCATCCAGCCCCACCAGCCTTCAGCCCTAGAAATCTCCCAAGAACATCCTGCTTTTCAGCGGCTACTATGAATTTGGCCATCACCCACCAATAGCAGTGTATTGCCAAAAGACACGTAGTCAGGGGAAGGAGACAGCGGAGAGGTTTGGCAGCATCCGTAAAATGAGCGCCACTCTGGCCGGTCCTGCAGCAAAGCTGGCTCCTGCTCCTGCCCTTGGAGATGAGCAGAAAGGATGATATTTCAGTGCTACGCCACACCTAGGCGCTCCTTGCTGAACTGGGAGAGATTCATTAGTCACTCCTGGGAGAGACTCCTCAATTCTGGCTGGCTGCAGATTATTCAAATAAAATCCAGTGTGTCAAGGAACCATTAACCATTTTCTAGGTGTTGCATGGTCATCACAAAGTGAGGCAGTTTCCCATACCAGGCATAGTCCCTACCTTACTGCAACCACTGTTTCTAGGGAAGCTGCTGGGTCCCTAGTCAGAGGCAGTTCAGATGCTGGCTGTAAATGTGGTTAACTCCACCCGGACATGACACAATTGCACCTCTGAACAAAACAGCAAAAAAAAAAAAAAAAAGAAAGAAAAAAAAAGAAAAAAAAAATCCCTGCTGCTCTCCAGAAAAGCTCTTCCTTCCCAATATATTTCACAAGCCTTGGCATGAAGTTACACAAAAAAATCACTGTATAGGCGCGTGAAACACCTCAGGCATGTGAAACACCTATGGGAGGCTCTCCCCACTGCAAGGCTGTGGCAAATGGAGCACGGGTCCAGCCAGGCCTCCAGGGCACGGCAAACCCCAGCGGCTTTGCCACAGGCCACGGGTCACCTTGGCCCTGCTGGGGACATGCAGCGGGAAGCCCACGCAGGCATGGGGGCTGCTTCCACGTGCAGCCATCAGGGCCTGTAGGTGTTCACCCTCACTCCTGTCCACTCACTTGAATTTTGGCAGGAAAAGGGGAGCAAACGGCCCCCATCCGAT